CTGGTGGGAACAAGGGGAGCTCTGGGTTTGTCCGGGACAGAAGACGTTCCTGGGACATGTTTTCCGGCCTGGACTTGGTCGGGAATTGGTTGGAGTTCTTAGCTGCAGAGAAGGTGAGCCACTCCAGCTACTTCTGCAAAAAGAGATTTTTGTTTGGACAAAGTATTAGGTAAATGATAGAATTTCTAGGCAGAGCAGAGGGCCAAACTCGGGATGTGATCCATAAAAACAGTGGTGTAGGAGCAATGTCGGGTGGCACAGCTGTCCTGTCGAACCCCAGAGCTGCCAGCTCTGCTTCCCAATTCCTTTCTGGGATATGGGTTTGCTTCTGACGGACTGTTTTGCAGGGGTGGAGGCATGTTAGGCCTCCCTCCCATGGATCCCTGGGGCATGCTCCATGGGGCAGCAGGCCCTGGGAAGGCACTGCAGCCACGGAGCAGTGTATTTGTCCCAATTCCCGGGCCTCCGCAAGCCCACTGATGCCCATGAGATGGTCAAGCTCCGTGTGAGCCCCAGCTCTACCCGGAGCTCGGGATGGGGCTTGCCTTGTCCTGGTACCAGTGTCAGCTCAAAGTCTAAAATAAGGTATTCCTCCTTCCTGGCGAGTTGCCACAGGCCCTGGGGAGGTTAGAGAAATATTTGCCACAGAGATTTACGGCGGCATGCAGGTCCTTCTGCAAAGGGTTGGGCCCCCTGCACTCAGATGCACTGGGCCTTTGCACTAACTTCCATCCGGAGAGGGACGTGGATGTGGCTTCTCCACCAGGCAGCTGACAGCAGCCTCCACTGGCAAGCGCTCCTGTCGTCACCAATGGAGATGGGCAGCACCTGGCTGCCCGCCAGTCCACCTCTCCCCTGCATCAGCCTGTCTGGAGTCCCATTGCCCGCCGTTCAAGGGACCCGGGTCGAGGCCCCACCTCCCACTGCCTGCCTCAGTTTCCAAATAAAATAGTGGTCCCCTCAGAGAATATGTTTAAAAAAATTTTATTGTGGTAAAATACACATAACATAAAATTGACCAACTAAACCATTTTAAAATTTATTTTTAAAAAATTACACATAAAAATTGATTACACATAAAAAATGATTTGATATATGCATACATTTCTGAATGATTAAATTAAGTGAATTAACATGTCTGTCACCTCATATATTTACTATTTTTGTGATGAGTACATTTAGAATCTCTGAGCAATTTTCAAGTGCACATAATTATTATGACTATGGTCACCATGCTATACTATAGGGCACGTGAACTCTGCGTTCTGTGTAACTGAAACTTTGTACCCTTTGACCAGCATCCCCCGATGCCCATGCCCAGCCTCTGTCACCACCGTTCCCCTCTCTGCTCTGTGAGCTGGACACTTTTCGACTCCACATTGAAGTAAGATTGTGTGGTGTCTTGCGGTGCAGGCTCGTCTCACTTAGCATGGTGTCCTCCAGGTTGTCACAAATGACAGGATCTTTTTCTTTTTCATGGCCAAATGGTGTTCCATTGTGTATGCATACCACATTTCCTTTACCCTTCGCCTGCTGACGTTGTTCCACACCTTGGTCACTGACTAAGGTGCTGCAGCGAGTGTGTGAGGCCAGGTTTCACTTCCTCTGGACACATGCCCGGCGGTCGGATTGCTGGATCATGGGGCAGTTCTATTTTTGGTTTTCTGAGGAACCTCCATACTGTTTTCCATAATGCCCGCATCTTAACCATTTTTAAGTGCACAGTTCAGTGGCATTAAGTACATTTACATTGTTGTGCAATCATCACCACCATCATCTCTAGAACTTTTCCACCATCCCAAATGGAAACTACAAACCCTTTAACAACACCCCCCCACCTCCCGCTCCCCGTCGCTCCTCGGCCCCCACCATTCATTCCACCGTCTGTCTCTGTGAATCTGCTGCTCTCGGGACCTCATGCAAGTGCAATCACACAGGGTTTGTCCTTTTCACTCTGCATCACGTCCTCCTCAGGAAACATTTTTTTTTTTTTTTTTTGGTGACCACACACTTTATCACACAAAATGGGACTCCTGGAGAGAGAGGTGGAGCTATTAATAATGTAAGAAAAAGAATGAATGACTGCAGGCATCAACAGGGCCCATACCAGGCAGACAGTCCGTGTGGACCCTACCAAGTGTCATCTGAGACCTCCAGGGAACACAGCGGGTTCTCAGCCTGGGATCTTCCAAGTCCTCCTGCCACTGTGTCCGGGCAGCTCCACCAGCTCCAGGCCCCAACTCGGCCTGCCTCTGACACTGTCTGCACCCCATCGCATCCCATCCCAGAGAAGAGATGGTGCAGCGGGGGTCACTGTGAAGTTGCTTCATGCCAAAGTCACATCCCATCCACCACCAGCAAGGGGTCCATGCTCTCTTCACAGGGATTGGGAATCCAACTCTGAAATTCCTTCCTCACGGTCTGCTTTCTAGAAGGGTTACTCTGGTTCTGACTGCCAGGCCAAGGTTCCCTAGAAAACACAGACTGACATGGCTTGCATGCTCCTACCTTCTGGGGGAGAGGTGCTGTCTCAGGGCACGTCATGGGGAAGTGAGCTGAGGCAGGGAAAAGTGAAACATGAGGCTGTCCCTCAGGGCTGGCTGCAGCTTCCTGCTCAGCAACGTGGGATAGCTCTGCACAGCCTGTGCAGAGTGGTCTTTTCAGTGTTGAGCAGCCTGGCAGTGGGAGAAAGTGTGGGGAGTGAAACCTTCCTGCCTCCTGCTCAGGGAAGCAGCTGGAGCAGCCAGGCATGGTGGGGACATGGGGAGGACCACCCCTGCAGCCTGGGCTTGGACAGCCCTGACTCTCTTTGTGGAGGCCAGCACAGCCAGTGGAGGCTGAAGAGGCCCTGGCAGGGGAGGCAGAGCTCAGTACACAGGGTGGGGGCGGGGGACATGCCTCAAGCCCATGGAGGTGATCTCTCCCACCCTGTGCAACTCAGGAGCCACGCCTGGACCTGCTGCAACTGACGAATGTGGCCGGGAATGCTGGGTTGCCCTGGGCAGCCTGCAAGAGCCAGGTACGGTTCTCCAGGGCTCTTCCTGCTTGGGGCCAGGAGTGAGGAATGTGGGAGCAGAGCCCCAAGGGCCAGGGACTGACAGAAATAAGCCACCAGGGCTCAGGCAAAGTCATGTGAGTCTAGCTCCTCCTGATGGACAGAATGAATTCTGCTTAAGCGGTAAGACCTATCTTTGCAAGCCAGGACTCAGTTTCCCCTTCCCATCTCTTCTCAGCACAGTATCTGGCATGTTCTGTCTTCTGTCTTGCACAACTTCTTCCCACTTCTGGGACCTCTGACTGCCACAGTGATGGACCTGTGTGCTACTTCCCACGGGAGCAGCTTCTCACACCACTGGGTCTGCTGGGTCTGTGCCCTCTCACCACCTCGGTGACCACTCAGATGAGCTGCCCTTACTCTCCTGCCACCCCAAGTCCATCAGGCACCGGAAGGCGGGCAGTGTGCAGACAAAGCAAGAGGCAAAGAAGAGACTGGCACGTGGTACGCCCGTCTCTTAGGGCCACTCTCTGCCCTTTTCTTCCTGGCTCTGGAGCCCAGGAGCCCAGGAGCCTAAGCCCTGTGGTCGGCTTCCTTCTGGCTTGGCTCTGCTCTGGAAGGTTCCACCAGCGGGACTCAGGCAGAGACAAGAGAGTAGAGCCTGAGAGTGGGGCTTCTTCCCAGGCTCTGCGTTGGGCCTCCCCGGCTGGCTAAGTCCCTTGGCCACAGGTCATCGTTCTTAGTGGGTGGTCCTCTCCCTCTCTCCCTCTGGTTCTCAACTACACTGCCCTCGAGGTGGGAACAGTTCTCCACCCTGCTGTCACCGGTTCGGCCGTGCACCGCCCCGGTGGCTTCCTACTCCCTGGCCAAGCGGGTTCTGCTCACGTTGCCACTTGAGAATGCCACCTGTTCCCCGGGATCCTGCGCAACTGCGCTAGGCCAGCGACGAAGAGGGAGCGAGAGACGAGGGAGGGAGTTTTGAAGTGGACGAGACACGCGACGCACCCGGGGGGCAGTCCGGAGGGGCCGCGTGTGCAGGGCGAGGAGCGGAGGTGAGACCCGCCGGGGAGAGACTGAGGCTGAGGGGTGGCGGGAGCAGCAGCGCCCCAGCCTGGAGAGGGGACGCGCGGAGTCCGAGGCCAGGTGGGCGCCAGGCAGCGCCCTGCACCCCGGCCGCGGCGCCCACTGGAGGGCCGCCCGCATCCACAGGCCCCTTCCCGGGGGGCCAGCGGCCGGGTGGGACCGCCTGGGTCTCAGCGAGTCGCGAGCGCGGGTGCGTCGCGGGCCCGGGACAAGCGCCCTCCGGGATTACCCGAGGCGGGCGCCGGGACCTCGCGGAAGCCGCGCCCCGCGCTTCTCCCCGTCGCAGCTCCCTGGCAAGTTCCCGCGCCCGCCCCGCCCCGCCCCTGCAAGCCCGTAGCCCCGCCCCGTAGACCCCGCCCCCTTGCAAGCCCGTAGCCCCGCAGGCCCGCCTGTAGCCTGGTAGCCCGCCCCATAGGCCCCGCCCTGAAGCCGCAGCCTGCCCCGTAGGCCCGCCCCCTGCAAGCCCGGCAGCCCTGCCCCGTAGGCCCCGCCCACGCATCGGGCCCTCTCCTCCAGCCCCGCCCACCTTGCCCGCCGCGCCTCCCCCTCCCTTAGGGCCCGCCCCGGCCCAGGGCGGCGGCGCTCGGACGGTTGGCGCGGGCGCGAGGCGGCGGCGGGGAGCGAGCGCGCGGCCCGGTAGGTGTCCGGGCCGAGGCGGGTGGACAGGCACGCCGCCCGCTCTTTCTTTCTTCTGGGCGCGCTCGCGCCCCCGCCGCCCCGGCGCCCCCGCCCGCCCCCGCCTGGCGCGGCCGGGCCGGTCCCCTAGGGGTCGCCGCCCGCCGCTGCCGCCTGTCCTTTCCCTCTCTCCCCCTTTTCTTCCTCCTTCCTTCCTCCCTTCCTTTTGTTCGCGGCGCTCTCCGCGAGCTCGGCCCGGCCGGCGCGGCCTCCGGCGGGGTCTCGGAGGAGGCGGGCGGGGCCTGGACTTCCTCTCGGACCTAGCGGGCGGCGCATTGTTTGGGGAGCCCGTCTCTGGGGACCGAACTCTGCAGATGAGCTGCGGCCGCCGTGCGGGCCGGTGGGGCGGTGGAGACGGAGGGCGGCTCCAGAGTGAGCAGTGTAGACGGAGGAGTGGAGACTGAGGGGGCTCCAGCGTTGTGGAGTGTAGACCGAGAAGTGGAGTGTAGATAGAGAGGGGGCTCCAGAGTTGTGTGTAGACAGAGCAAGCCTCAGAGTTGTGGACTGTAGACAGAGAAGTGGAGTGTAGACCGAGAGGGGGCTCCAGAGTTGTGGAGTGTAGACAGAGACGGCCCAGAGTTGTGGATTATAGAAAGGGAGCTGGCCCCAGAGTGGACCACCTGGCCTCTCAACTGCCTGGTCACTTGCTGGCAATGTGCCCTTGGCAGGTGACCACATCCTCTGTGCCTAGTTTCCTCACCGCACTGCAAGGGTTGTGAGTGGCTTTGTCCGAAGCCCTCCGCGCAGTCCGTGAGGGTTATTGTCATGGCTGCACTGCACTGTGCTGTCAAGGGCCCTTCTGAGACCTGCAGGGGACGAGACTGGGCGGCCTTCCCAGGCGAGGCAGTAGCCCCACCTATGCACAGTGAGCAATCTACTGGGTGGTCTGGGGAGAAGAGGGTGAGGATGCCCTCGGGCAGGGAGGCCACCGTGGAGAAAGTCTTGCAAACCAAAGAGTTGAGACCTGAGCCTAGACTAGGCCATGTGGGGAGGGCAAAAATGATTTTGAATGAGAAGGAATGTGTTTAAAATTTACTTTAGCAATGTAATTATCACAGTGTGAAGTTTCTTTCCCTGAAAACTTGGTATAAAAATACCCACCTTACCCAGTGGTTTTGGGGACTTGAGGTGACAGTTACCAGGTGCCCAGGCCTGACATGGGACCTTGGTGCCAGGGATGCTGTTCAGGTGGGGAAGGCCACATTGGCTGAGGGCTGTGGTCCAGGCTACTGTGCTGGCCTGGGGCTGGGGTGCCGCCTGCAGGGACACAGCCTATCTGAGTCTTTTTCTTTAAAATGCTAGTCCAGCTTTGTCTTTGAAGTCTTTGGAGGCTGGAACCTGCCCTCAGGCAGGCTTGGATTTCTCTCTTTCCCTCCTCACAGGAGGGATGGCTGTGGCTGGGCAGAGCAGTGGGAGGACAGACAGGCAGGGTGGCCTAAGGGTGGTGTCATGCAGGGTCCAGAGGTGAGGAGGGAGCACGCAGCCCCTGGCAGGAAGAGAAAGGGGACACTCTGCTTTACTGTTCTGATTCAGTCGTCTTTTGACATTTAGCTTTGTCTGAAACAGGCCAAGCAAACAGGTAGGCTGAAGGAAGAAAACTAAAACTAAGAATGTATTAGTTACGACTTAACATGGTTAGGCCCACAAGCACACAAAACATGGCAAAGCCCTGAGCATTTTACATCTTATTTGAATTTGGTGGAATTCCTGTAAAGATTCTGCTTTCTGATTGTGCTTGTATTATGTTCCTGTTGCTGCTGTAACGAAGTGCCACAAATGCAGTGGCTTAAACAGCAGAAGTGTGTTATCTCACAGTCCTGGAGGCCAGAAGTCTTGACATCAGTGTCAGTGGGTGAAACCAAGGTGTTGCCTGGCCACATGTGCCCCATTCGCTCCCCTTGGCCCCTCTGGAGGCTGCGTCATGCCTTGGCTCAGGGCCCCACAGGACAGGGCCCTTTCCCTCCCTGCTTCCTTCATCACATCGCTGTCTTCCTCTCTGTCTTCAGATGTCTGGGATAACCTCATCTCTGGATCCTTAACTTATTCACGTCTAGAGAGTCCCTGTTGCCATCTAAGATTACGTTCCCAGTGGGGGCTAGGACCTGGATATCTTTGGGGACCACTGTTCGGCCTACACAGTGCTTCTGACTTCACTTTTTAATACTTTGGTTTTTCCCATTCTGTGCTGAAGAGCAGCCATCTGGAGCACTTTCCCCAGGCTGCTAGGTGGGGTCTGTCTGAGGGCTTCTGCCGCACCTGTGTCTGCAAGGACCTGTGGTTTCACTGCCCTGCCCTTGAGGAGAGGCTGCAGCTGTCCTGGGAACAGGCATCTGGGAAGCGAAGACGTGCTGAGGGTGCGAGTGCAAGTGGTGAGAGAGCTGGAGGGGTCCCTCCATCCCTGCTGTTCGAGAGGTGGTGGTTACCGTCTCCCGCACAGCCTGATGAACTGTGGTCTCACTTCAGAAACACTCTCCACGCGCGCGTGCGATTTTACCTGTAATTTTCGGGGAGGCCACCACTCCAGCAGTTCCCAGGTTTGTCCCGGAAGGAGCCCGTTGCTGTGGCTCCAGGCGAGGAGTGCTGTGTGAGAGGTTCCCTTCCTCTGTGTCCTAGGGTCTGGACTTCAGTGGGCGAGAAAAGACACATGGAGTTTGCCCCTTGTGTTTTCCTTCCTCTCTACTTTCCCATAGCATTGCCGTCCCCACGCCTGTGATCATGGTGAACCCGATGTGTTCAGACAGTCGTTCAGACACAAGCCCTGTGCTCCTACATGTGTCTGTCTCCATCTCCTGTGTGTCCCTTGGCTGTGACCCCAGCTGCCTGCTGGGATGCCCGAGGAAGGGCTGAGACAGGGTGGAAAATCTTGCCCCAGCCCAGATGAGCTGGCTATTTTCTCAGGTATTTACAGCTGTTTAAGCTGCTCTTTTAAAATTTATGTTAGGCGAGATCATTTGATTTCTCCCAACGGTTAAGGGGGGGTCTCAGCGCTCCCCCAAGCTCCCACCTCTCCCCTGGGCCTGATGCTCACCCCGGCTCCCTGTGTGCCACTCCGTCTTGGGTGGGTCCCACGTCTGGTGCCTCTTTTTGTCCTGCCTCAGAGCTTGCTCTGCTGAAGTCCTACTCTTCTGATACCTAAAAACATTACATAGATTTTTTTTGACCTTGATTTTTAAAACATCTTTATTTTACTCTCCAGTTACCTTTTAGTTTAGCTGGGTATAGAATTCTAGACAATTAGTTTTTCAGGATTTTGAAGATGTTGCTTCACTGCATTTGGCTTCAGTGCTGTTGAGAAGTCTGATGTCCGCTCTTTGTACGTGAACGCCTCTGCTGCAAATTCGCGGATGGTTTTTTCTCAGTGTTCTAAGGTATCTGACGATGGCATCTGTTTTCATTCATTGTGCTGAGCATTTGTGGGGCCCCTTCTGTCTGAGGTCTAAGATTTTGTATTATTTCTAAAATAATTTCCTTCCTTTCAGGTTAGCTGTTTTCTCTTTCTGGAACTCTGTTTATTTGGAGGTTGGACCTCCTGGGCTGATTCTCTAATTTCTCTTAGCTTTGTTCTCCGCTTGCTGGTATCTTTGATGTTTATGCTATTCTCGGAGATTTCTTTGCATTGTCTTACAACCTTTCCATTAATTTTTTTATTTTAATTATATTTCTTTTTTTTTTTTTAGCTTTCCAGATTTCTTTTTTGTTTTGATTTTTTTAACTTTAAAAAAGTCTTATCCTTCATTTAGAAATGTAAAATTTTATCTCTCAGAAGATAATAGTTGAAGATACTTTGGATTTTTATTCTGTTTTTTAATTTCCCTTTTTTCTATTTTTCACTAGACTATATCTTCCTTGACACCAGGCTTTTTTCCCTCATTATTATCTAAGGTCGAATTCAAACACTTAAAATAGTGCCTGGTGTGTACAAGGAACAGTATATAATGTTTAGATCTGTATCGTTACTGATTTTGCATAGGAGGACAGTTGTTTTAACAGTTGTGAGAGGCTGGTTAAAATCTCCACCTGTGATGGTAGATTTGTCTGTTTTTGCCTTTAGTTCTTTCGGTTTTGGCCTTTTGCATTTCGAAGCTCTTTACTAGGTGGGCATGTGCTACAATGGCTGTGCCCCCCTGTGAACTGGGCTTTCTTCTGGAGTCTGTCTGGTAAGACCACTCCTCTATTTCTCACATGTGCTGCTTGCTCACTGTAGCTTTTCCCATTCTTTTATTCTCAATTTGTTTGTGTCCTTACATTTGAAGTGAGCTTCCTATAGAAGCAGGTAGTTGGGTCTTGCTTTTTTTTTATTCTGGCTGACAATTTTTTGCTTTCTTTTTTTTTTTTTTTTTGAGACAGAGTCTCACTGTATATCCCAGGCTGGAGTGCAGTGGTGTCATCATAGCTCACTGCAACCTCCAACCCCTGGGCTCAAGAGACCTTCCTGCCTCAGCCTCCCAAGTAGCTGGGACTACAAATGTGCACCACCATGCCTGGCTAATTTTTTGAAAATTATTTTTTGTATAGATAGAGTCTCACTGTTGGCCAGGCTAGTCTCAAACTCCTGGCCTCAAGCCATCTTCCTACCTCAGCCTCCTGAGTAGCTGGGACTACAAGGGTGCATCACCATGTCCAGCTACTTTTTTTCTATTTTTAATAGAGGTGGGATCTCACTCTTGCTCAGGCTGGTCTTGAACTCAGGGCCTCAAGATATCCTCCTGCCTTGGCCTCCAAGGGTGCTAGGATTACAGGCGTGAGCTACGACGCCCAGCCTAACTATTGCTTTTTAATGTGAATGTTTTGTCCATTTATATTTTTTGGTGTTTAAATATCCCCCAAATTAAAGTCTTTTTATTAGCTAATAAATAAGCAATAGAGACAACTTCTTCCAAAGCAGTTTGAGGTGTAGAGCGCAAATAAGATTTGGAATATTCTCAAATTTGACTTTAAAAAAGTTGCTTATTATGTAAAATTTTGTATATGTACAGAGTAAACAGAAGAATATAATGAACCCCCGTATAACTCACACTCAGCTTTAACAACTGTGTCCTGTTTCTACTCTTTTCACTCCTTGCCTTTTATTTTTTAGTTCTCTAGTTTATTCATATTTAATGTGAATATTAATATGGTTGATTTGTGCTTACCACTTTGTTTTCTATTAGTTCTTTTTTGTTGTTGTACTGAAGTCTTTTCTTCCCTGTCACATTTTGGGTTAAGTGAATATATATATTTAAAGAAACTCATGTATATATGTGATAAGTATAAAGTGTATACATACATAGTTTTTTTTAGTATTCTATGTGAATTCCTCTATTGGCTTTTTTACTGTATCTCTTCTCTTTGTTACTTTTTTTTTTTTTTTTTAGTAGTCTGAAAAAGATGTTTTCTTATTCACAGTCTGTTTAGAATTGATTTTGTTACCACTGCATAAAATGTAAAAAATTGTGCAGTAGTAAGTTCCATTTACCTCCTGCTTTGCCCTGTCATCATACATATTGTATCTACATATGTTACAAATCACGACAAGACAGTAATTTTCCTTTTTTTTTTTGCTTTCCAGGATCATGTATATCTTAAAAAATTGAGAAAAATAGTATTTTTAATATTTACCCCACATATTTATGATTCCTAGTTGCTTCATTCCTTCTTGTCGTAGATTTGAGTTCCATCCTGATATCATTTCTCAGCTTGATAAACCCTCCTTTAGCATTTCTTTGCCTGTTAATAAGCACATTCTCCCTATTTTCTTTATTGATCTGAAAATATCTTTATTTTGCCTTCCATTCTAAAGGAATATTTTTTGCTGCATATACACGTTTTGGGCCAGGGCGTGGTGGCTCACACCTGTGGCTCCCAGCTATTTGGGAGGCTGAGGCAGGATTGCTTGAGCCTAGGAGTTGAGGCTGTAGTTAGCAATGATGAATGCCACTGCACTTCAGCCTGAGTGACACAGTGAGACCCCCCCCCCCCCCCTTTTTTTTTT